AGGTGGATGCATGTCTACCATTCCAATAACCGTAAAGGGTTAACTGGTATATGTCATATTCACACTGGGCGTCGGCACATTTCTTAATATCCTTAAATGGAGATTACATGTCCTTCGCTCCTGCGCGTGCCCGTTTATTGGGTCGCGTAAATAAAGTGGATTCGCGAGCACGTGTATGTTTGGGTCTCTCGTTTAAGGTCTGCCTGGATACGTACCCGTGATCGGTGAGCTCCCGCGGCTTCTTAACAGCCGCTTTTCCCTTCGATGTTACTCGATGTGCGGGAAAAAGAGTAGATACAGTATCATAAAACTGTTCCCATGTAAGTCGGCATAGATGAAACTTTGTTTCATGTCCCTTGTTTCGAGCCTCGCTCTATTCTGGGGCGAATCCGAGAGACTCATAAAATCATATCTTTAGAGAATAAAGAAGAAGAAAAAAGAAAAATACTCTTGACGTCCTTAGTTATTGTGTTAGCCAATAACTTGCCACTATCAAGAATTACCGACTTAGCCTTCATCAGACTGGCGCATCTGGTTGGCTGATCGGAGGATCAACTAGGTAACGTTAATAGTCCCTAGAAACCTATATTCGGTTGAGCCATCTCGCTACCAAAGTATTCAGATATAGATAAAATTTGAATGTAAATAAAGTTATATTAATAGAACTATACCAACTCTTTATGTTTGGTATTTTACCGAGGCCTTTTAATGGCCTCATTCAAATATCTGATATGTTAAATGGAAAAGATATTAATTAATAAAACCATTAAAACCATTTTAGGAAACTTAAGTTCCTCGTGCTATTAAGAGCACATTTAGGAAACTTGAGTTCTTCGCAGCCTCCTGACAGCGCACCCAAAGAAAGACGATGCAGATATCACCTCCCCCGCCGACTTCCGCCCCATCACGCTTACGAAAATAGTCAGACGCATCTTTGAAAAGTGCTTTCTTAATCTGATTACGAGCCATCCCGGCTCTGCTACCCATGCTACCCAAGCTGGCTTCAAATCACGGTACTCCTGTCATACCCAAGCACTTCCCGCCATGGAATCTGAGACACAGTCAGAAGAGGAGTGGAACGATGCCTGTCTGGACATAACCAAGGCATACGACAAGGTCGTTCTCCCACGCCTATGGGTACTGTCACGCTGGAATGCCTGAAAACTGGATCAACTGCCTCCGCGCGCTGTTTGGGAGGGTCCCTACAGCGACTATAAGAGCCATACCATATGTTCATACATTGTATCATATATACTTGCCATTTTTGAAATAAATATTATTATCCCTATTAAGAGTACGTTTAGGAATTTGCGTACTGCTTACGAGTATGTTTATAACACAGAGTATATTGTGGAGGCCCGGCTTGTTGCAGTGCAGACAACACCCACATGCACACAGCATGTGCAGGCGATACACAGGCGCATACAGCACGTGCTGACGGCACAGACGCACATACAGAACATGATGAGGATGGAACCTCAGACACACAACAGCACATGCTGAAGTAACACCCGCACATGCAGCACATACACATACCTTATAAAGGTACCAACCAGTTGACCTAAGTTCTACACTTTTGCCATTCGATGTGAACATTGTGAACTTAGCACAAACACCGTCACACTTAACATTACATCCTCACAACGCTTCACCGGATGGCATACAGCTGACAGTGCATAATGTAGCTCCAGCCTCCGGATCATCAGCCCAAACTAATCAACAATACGACACTCAAACAGAATTTGACTTAGGATTGGACTTGGGTTTAGACAGCGAGACTCCGGACACAACAACACACACACATGCACATGAAACACTTGCACGCGCACACGTCATATCTAACTCATCAATGCAACATGCCTGACAGCCACTTATCACTTCATCAAGCTTATTAAGCGCGGTCAGGCCTTTCAATCTTACAGACAGTGGACATGTCATGCTAGATACGCTTCTCACACAGACACCTAATATCAGATCGACATCGATTTATAGAAATACTGCCTCCGGTCAGTCTAAAATATTGAGATCAAATGAGATAACGCATTGGTTTTTATTTGTTTTTAAAATAATTTAATACAAGTTCTTTTTCCAAAATTTACAAAGTGTTCTAAATTCACTTTGATGGCTCCAATAGCCTGAGTATTTGGTATACCTCATTTACTTGGACCTATTTGAGACGATAGTTAGATGTAGGAAGTTATAAACTAAATTTTATAATCTCTGAACTACTATTTACAGGTTTTGGTCTTCCCGCCAATCTCCAAAATCCAATAAGTCTTTTCTTCTTTTTTTTAACTTTTCTTCAGATGGAACTTTATTTATATTAGCTAATGTACTAACATGAGTTATTTTCTTATGTATATCTACAAGTTAGACATGTGGTCATGAACACTTAGTACTTCCAGTGAAAATTATTCAATAAAGAAAAGCTAGAGGTGTCCTGCGTGATCGAGCATACCAAGGCTCTTACCAAGAGGCAGTCCTGATTATTCTTACACAAGCTACCACTGCTAAATCCTAACTGACTTAGTTTATATAACATAGTTTAAAACATAGAAATATCCATCGAAGTTTACAAATTGATGTCCATGGGATGGTTTGGAAGTGGAAGTCTATTGATGAGGATGCCAGTCCAGTCGAGAGACTGGACTGGAAGGTCATCGCCAACAACTATTCCGGCCTATGGATGGGATAGCGCGTGATGCGCTCTCTTACTTTTACTTCATGTTTCCTCTTGGTCACTTAGAAAAAATGTTCGTATTGACAAACGTAACACTCCCCACGAGCAAAGACATGCAGTACGCTGATCTTTTAACACCAGGAGAGCTCCTCAATTGGTTCGGTGTGTGTGTTCAGTTCTGTATCATCAATTTCGGCTCCCGGGCGGACTGTTGGCAGAAACAGGCATATGCACACGAGATGCATCCCCCATATAATTTTGGATGCTTCATGGAGCGTCGCCGATTCGATGCTATTTTCCAACATCTCCAATTTGCGGCGACAACAACTGACACACTAAACCCAAACAGTCAAGACCACCGCTGGTCTCCTGTGAAAGGGTTTGTAGACGCTATCAATGATCACAAGGATCCCACAATAACCGCCAGCAGCAACATTTGCGTGGATGAAAGTATGAGCCGATGGACGGCATTGGAGGCCAGTGGCTCAATGGGGGCCTGCCCCATTACGTGTCTATTGATCGGAAGCCGGATTCTGGCTGTAAGATTTGGACTACTTGCTGCGGGAAGGGTCACTTTTTATTAAAGTTGGGGCTTAGGCAATCGGCAGACACCAGCGAGAGAGAACATGAAGCTGACTATCAACATGGTGTAGCGACAACCCTGTGTTTGGTACAGAAGTAGTGTGGCAGCGGTAGTACTAACTATGGTGATAGCTGATTTGCTAGCTATCGCACGGCCGCTACGTTGTGTGAAAAAGGGTTGCATTTTAAGGGCGTCATTACGACCGCCACTAAGATGTTTCCCATAAAGGTTCTATTCTGCGAAGAACTGACTGGAGAGGGACATTGGTCCTCCATGGCGACCACAGATTTAGATAATAACCAGTATATTGCATTGGTTAGGTCTGATAAAAATAGAAAGTATTTCATCAGCACTCACAGTGCTACTAAGCCGGGTAGCACCATCTCTCGTAAGAGAGTGAGAAATGACGGCAACACAATTGCAGCTAAAGAAGTGCGTTGCCAACAGCCCCAGTTAGTAGAACAGTATTCTACATACAACGATATCATCGATAGACATAATAGACACAGGCAGGATACACTCAATCTTGAGAAAAAACTCGAGGTTAGAACCTAGCACAAACGCGTTGGTACTTCTTTCCTGGATATGTACATTGTTGATGCTTTTTTTGTTGTACAAAGGGACTCGCACATCTAGGACAAAACAGGTTGATCAACGAAACTACTATATGATGTTATCAAAAGAATTAATGAACAATAACTATGAGGCGCGTGTTACACGTTCAGTTAAAGCCGCAATTACAATCTGTCCAGAAGTAACTACTTCTGGGGTAGGCACACATGCAACTCCCATCAAAGAAATGAAACGAGAAAGGCGAAAGAATAAGTATGGGGAGGTTGTAGAAGGTTTGCGTGCTAATCGGAAGTACTGCAAGTACAGTGGATGTTGGAAGAAGAAATGCCGTACTGGGGATGAATGTAGTGCGTGTGGTTTGGGTGTACACAAGGCCTGCTTCATGGCACACCTCCGGGAATCACATCCCCGCGACGAGGATTGATCTACACTTACACATCATGCATATATGTGTGCATGTATACGCAATTACAATAGTAAAAGAAGTTAATTTTTTAATAGATTCAGAAAAACCCAGATTTTAAAATTTACAGTGATTGATTGGAGTTGACTAAATTATTTTGGTTTAATTGGCTCAAAATACGTCACTTTTTTTTCAAAAATAATCGTATGTAAAAACTTATCAAAATTCGATTTCGCCCATTAGGGCTAAATATAGCGCCCAATAGGGCGGGAGGGGCGGAAGGATAGACACTAGAGAGACTAGCTCGAGAGAGAGGGAGAATCAGAATATCAGATATAAAAGTATTTTAACTTTTAAAACGTAGATAAATCTTATTTGTTTTTGTTTTGTGGTAAGACCCAAGGTTCAAAGTTCAAACTTTAAAGTTCAAACGTTCATTCGTTCAAACTTCAAACCTTCAAAGTTCAAACCTAATGTAGAACTTTAAGAGTAGTATCACGATTCTGAATATAAAACCACCCAATAGAAACCTTATATATAGTCAATAAGAGCGGAGAATTCAAAATACATACCTGTCTCGGACTCTCGGCCTCTCGCGGGCACGGCTCTCGCGCGGACATATTGAATTTTTTATTTTATTTTTTGTGTCGATTGATCGTGGCGCAGGTATTTCACTAATTTTATTTTATTTTGTATTTTTGTATTACAATTAATTTTAATATTAATGTTGTATTCTGATGGAAATGGGCTGCATAATGTAACAGAATCGGTCGTTTTGTAGTATTATCCACATATCGCTACTGAATGGCAGAGTTTTACTGAAAACTAAACGAACGTTATAGGTACAAGCCATTACTTACAAACAGTAAGTGGGACGGATACTCTGGAGGTAGCAGTTCTAGTTAGGCCTTTTAAGTTTACACGACAAACATATCTGGGGTCAAAAGACAGTATACTACCATGGTTTTACGCAAAAACAAAAGTTCAGATGCCAGCAAGGAGCGACGACAATCCATGACTGGTGTTTCGGGTCTCAATTTCAAAAAGTCTGCCTCTGTCGCCAACAAGAATATAGATAAGTAAGTACTTGATTCGTAGTCAGTTCTTTTGTGTTCAGCTCGGGTCTCAATGGAGACTGAACCATGAATCTGGCTATCATAGTTGTTATATCTACACTAACGAAGTACGTTTACTGCGTTCTACAATCTCATTTATAATCTCGTATATATAGATTTCCTATCTGGGTTTCGTTCAATTCTGAAACAGCCCCTGTGACAGAGTCTGTACAGGTTGCGTATTATCCTGTAGTAGCGTCAGTTTCTGTTCTTTGGCCGGATTTAATGTAGGTGTTTGTGATTTTAAGTCGAGTATTGCATCTTTTGCCTTCAATTTCTGCGCACACCCTCTTCCGCAAATATCGGACGCAAACTAGCACGTGGACATGCTGTGTAAATATTTCGCTTACTTCGACATCTGTTATTCTACCATTGTCTCTGTGGTCGTCAATATGTGCGACTAGTTTGTACCGATTGCTTTCCTCAGAATCTTCTTTATGTTAAATCAGCTTTCGACTCTCTCTTAGTCACCAAAGCTGTGTTCTTATTCGATCCATTATGTTATTATTTGACAGTGGCGAAGAAGTATACCTAAATCCTACCACTACGCAATTAGTCGAGTCCAGATACCCCGTAATTCGGGCGTATGTCGTAGACGAGAACGCCGTTGTATACGAGTATGCACAGGTGAAGGGTAAGAATGCACAGGTTGTGATAGTGTTCACAGAATTGGGCCTCGCCATATACCCGGCAAAGTTAAAGAAGAAGTCTAAGGCGGAACTCGACAAAGTCGACCCTCAAAGCTTTTATCCCTATTCTGAAATGCGTGGCATCAATCACTGCCGAGGAAAGAAAGGAAATTATTTGGTAAGCGCGAGATGAGTAGCTTGGGTCTTTTATCACATTTGTAACGAATGACTATATCTCAATATTGTGGTGTTGTCTTATAACCCAGGTAATTTACGTGTTTCTGTGATTTTGTTTCCTCTCTCGTGTGTTAGAATATCAATACAGTACAATTACGCACAGAGCACGCGACTAAAGCGATATTGGGCTCCGCACAGTTCAGTTTGTGGATGCTGATGTATGCTCGTGTTTTTTTTAATGTTGTGGTTTTTCTAGGTAGTATAATTTTTCAGCTCAAAAATATGAACCAACAATCTACAGCTCGAAAATATTAACCAACATATCTATAGCTCAATAATATTAATTATTAACCAAATAATTACAGTTCATTATTATCAATCGACATATCTACAGCTCAATAATATTAACCAACATACCTACAGCTCAATAATATTATCTATCAAACAAATATTTACAGCTCACTATTAGCAACCAACATGTCTACAGCTCAATAATATCAACTATTAAACAAATAATTACAGCTCAATAATATCAACCAACATATCTACAGCTCAATAACATAAACTATTAAACAAATAATTACAGCTCACTATTAGCAACCAACATATCTACAGCTCAATAACATAAACTATTAAACAAATAATTACAGCTCACTATTAGCAACCAACATATCTACAGCTCAATAACATTAACAACTATTAACCAAAAACTTCCAGCTCATTTTTATCAATCGACATATCTACAGCTCATTAGTAATAACTATTAACCAAATAATTACAGCGCACTATTATCAACAACATATCTACAGCTCAATAATATTAGCCAACGTTTGAGGACAGTGTGGAATAGTTTGCGTTATAGTTGTGTCTTGCGGTATGGCCAGCTGCATTTGGGGGAACAGTCTGTCAGGAAAGGGTGTTCACTGAGCTATTGAACATACTGGGAGTAGATGAAATGTGTAACTAAATCGACTATGTCTCTCGTAACAAACTCTCAAGTAAAATAATCAAACACAATTTATGCACCATCTATACCGAGCATTCCAGTTTCCGATTTACGACGAGTAGTAGGTTGCGGTTGTTTGTTCTTATTTCAGTTCAATATTGCCAAATTACTTCAAGATAGATACATTTCCGATCAATGCAATTGTCGTGTTTATATAGACTCGCACTATTGTATAAAATATTTTTACTTGATTACACAAGAGACTAACGCGATAATCTTCTACTGCACATATATACAGTCGGTGAAATCAGCAGATGGAGAAACCTGTGCGTTCTTTTCCAAGGAGACCGACGACATCAAAACAAGTCTAGTCGCGTACATTCGTTCCTGTTCCGACATGTTATTCGGAACGTACGACAATAACTACACTCCTGGCAAGCAGGGTATTCCTTTGGACGATCCATTGCACCCCAATGCGGTCCCGCCGCCAATCAACCCGAACATGGCGCCTCAGTACTTTCCTCCAGGTGATCCCGAGCGCCAAGGATTCAATGACGCGCAGCGCCGCAGCTTCATTGCACAGAGTCGCCAGGGATTCTCAGACGCTCAGCGCCGCAGTTTTAACAACAAGAATGTCTCGCGCATCACGCTGAAGAAGGAAACTATTACAAACCCACCTTCTATGCCTTCCATGCGTCGTGCGAGTGCCATCTTTGGCTCGATGGACATGCTTCCCATGCCGAATACCAACGCGCCTATGCCAGCCGGCGGCCCGGTGTCCATCATAAATCCGGACACCATGTATACGCGTAAAGCGAAGAATTATAATAACCGGCGGAGTATTGGCAGTATGGATGAAATTTCTCAGGTCAATCGGGGAATGGCCCCCATGTATAATGCTCGAAACAACGGTTTCTCGCACGGAATAGGAGGAAGAAGTATGGATAATTTCTCGCGAGCTAATAACATGGGTGGTCCCGTTCCCATGGGTGGTGTAATGCAGGGTAACCGTATGGGAAGCGGTAATACCACACCCGAGTATATGTCCCAGAACGCGTTTGATTACAACCAGGGTGGCTACAACAACCAGTCGAACGCCCAGGGATTCAACCGGAGCAAGCCCTTGGGCACCTTTGGGGGCCTGGCCCAGGGCGCTCCAATGAATAGACAGTCTGTGCGCAAGCCTATAAGTAATGGCATGAGTCGGGCCACCATGGTTAACCGGCAGCCAGATCCTCAACAGCAGCAGCAACGACAGCTTCGATGTCTGAGCATGGATGCAATGCAGGCGAATGTCACGAGCGATCAGAGCGGTTTGGCCCCAGGTGTTCGAGTAGGTGGTGCGCCGGCTCGCCGCATGCCGTCGAATCAATCACAACAAACGCGACAGATCTCGCCTCGCGACACTTACCTGCAAGACTTTGGGCTAAGCTCGGGTGACCCACAGCAACCCAAGATGCAGGTCCCGGCGCAGCATCGTTCGAAAGCGCCGTCGCCTGCGCCCCGACCGGCGCCCAATACGGCGTACAAGCGAACGAATACCAATCCCGGTACGGGAGAACCGGTGTATGGCGAGCCGCAGAATGTGCAGCACGCGAATCGAGGCACGCCGCGCGGCGCGGATCATGAGGGGACCATGAACTTTGACAATATGAAGGGCGCGTTAAATGAAGACGGAAATTCGCATAACCCTTTCTATGACGACCAGGGTATTGCTGGACATGACGACGCCTTCAATAGCAAGTATTCTGCGATGAAAACCGCGAGTGGGCCGCAAACGGATCCGTTCACTGCATTTTAGTCAAGGACCTGTTACATGTACATATTACATAAATATATGAACTGGGTTTAGAAAATGAATGACGTATAGTGCAGTGCGTCGAATGGTCTTCGCGTACGTTCAGAGATGTATAATGACTAATCCGTTTGTAGTGACTGTTTGTGTAGAAACACATTCGTGTAATTGTAAATCTAAATGGAATTTGGATATGTATAGATTTGTCAAGATACGCACTTGTATCAATATGCGTATATACAGCGATCGATGGTAGAATTTACATATACTTACGCACGTATACATTTCTAAATGTACATACCCATATGTATATACATATATATGTGTGTGCTGTGTGTGTGCGTATACATATATATATATATTATATATAGTGCATTTATGTATCTATCTATGGTATGTATCCAGGTATATATTTATCTATATATATATATAATATGTTTATATATGTATTTATGTATATATATACATATGTATGTAATATATATATGTATATATATATATATATATAATGTACATGTACATATACACGTGTATATATATATATATACATATAATATATGTATGTATGTATATATATATGTATATATATTTATTTATTTATATATATATGTGTGTGTATGTATGTATGTATAAATTTATATTTATATGCGTGTGTGTGTGCATATATATATGCATATGTATGTATGTATATATATATATGCGTGTGTACTCTGAGAAATTTATTTTAGACCGTTTGGGGGGTTGGTTTTCTAGTTTACGAATTTACAAGCATGTATACGATAGCATGTTTATTTGTACATACAAACCTGATAGCATGGCTGTGTGTGCACAAATATATTAGTATTCCTATTCACGTGAATGTTATACTTAAGCTACTAATAGGATCTCGTTAATTTTCTTTGCTCGTACCCGCACATATACACTATCACAATAATCCGTCACGCCAACGCAGATATGATGTATAAGTAGTTTATTCCACCAAATTGTATACGCTATTATCATAAATGTCTAATCTCAATAAATGACATTCGCAATGGATATGTTTATATTTCCCATGAGCAGGCAATATCGCGTCGTGTCTGTATGTGTTATTTAAGCTTTATTATTCGGAAAGGTGATAGCTATATGCGCACATGTATGAACCATAGACATCTTGCATGACCTTTAAGGCTGCTCTCTAACTTCATAATTAGCATCAGTGTACCTGTATGTGTAGGCCTATCAACTAGTATGTGCTTGTACTGTTTGGATCAAGAAAAATGTACAAACCCGTCCGAAAGGTCAATAATTGATGCTGCTAGTCTGCACATCAGATATTATATTCTTGCTACTTTTAAGACAAATAAAATTAACTATTCGAACGTTTCTTATTTTTTTTTAATGACAATTTCAATCAGCCGTTATTCTCGTACAGTATTTGTCTTTTCTACCAAAACCGTCTAAAATTTCAATAATTGGTTCTCATAGTTTGCCTGATTATTCTGCTTCTCCTTTCCACGCAAGTGAGTATCTACGGTGGCGAACTCAACGCGTTGCAGGCAGGTAGATTTTGAGCCACCTATTTCTTACACGGGACTAGACGAGCTTTTTGTTCTGCACAACGCGAAGAATATGACACTTTCAGCCGCGTAGGATCGGTCTTTGTAGCACGAACGATCGCCTGCGCTTTTAAGAAATGATCTTTAACGTGTATATCACAAACACGCACGCCTGAGTGGAGGAACGTTCTTCCGTATAGTACAGTAGAAGGTAGATGCTGAAAGGTCGGGCAAATGCTCCGCAGTGCGGGGATCGATAAAGCCTTGGACAGCTACCAACGCCCTTATTGCCGGTCGTTCGCTGACTACTGTAAAGTGGCCAGATACTCTGTAAATCGACACAGACATTTCGATAAAAACGAAATAAAAGCATCCACCGTAGTACTCACTCACGCAGACTTTTATGAAGCGCTGTGTGGAACTACTGCTTCCCCGCTGCGCTCTCAACTTGTAAGAATGGCCTCGATTAGCGACATATCGTCGTATGCCGCGCTTGCAGTGCAGCAGTCAGCGTACCTGTGGAACATCAGAACACAATCTTAAATATATATATATATATATTGTGATTTCCGGCTTGTTAATGTTCCTTGCCAACGATATATACAT